TAAAACCGGGAATGACTCGACAGATAAGGCCAGACACAAGCAACAGTTATAACGAGCATATCCAGTTCATAACAGATAAGGCAGATAAGGCAAAGCATAAACAATGATCATAACCCAACATGAACAATCCCCAATATAAATCCCATAGTCACATCCCCCAAGACACCCGTAATCACGACTCGTCCATGTCACAACACATAACACACTTTGTTGGCGCCACAGGACCAATCGCATGCCCATACATGAGGGTCAGCGCATATAGCTCTGACACGGCCCCGCAGCACCCTGCCCCGTATCGCAACATGGAGGGGTCGATCGCAACCGACCGATGAACCGCGGCTCATCATAGTGTTTGATCGCAACCAAACAGTGGACTGCAGCCCAAGAGAATGTCATCTGACCGCAGCCAGGAAAAAGGACGAACCGCAGCTCGTATAGAAACGTTTGATCGCAACCAAACGGTGGACCGCAGCCCAAGAGTATCAATCTGACCGCAGCCAGCTTCTGAACCGCAGCTCAGGATAACCAATCCGATCGCAACCGAATTGGGGTAACACACACACATAACACATAGCAAGCACATGCAACCCATATTACACATTGGGAAGGGGGAGAAAGCGCATAACAAAACCTATGCGTGATCCATCACATACTAAGAATAGTCCTAAGGGGTTCATACTCCTTCCACCTAGGTCAACGGGATACCAATTCAACTAGCATGCAATATAATAGACTCATAAACCTACGAACGGTACCCGAAACATCAAACTAGACACAGGCACGATAAACGGGGTCTGTTGGACACCACGGGGAACGGGGGAACGTCAAACGGGGAAGCCGGGGTCCCAGAGTGGGATAATTTCTAGCGGGTAGCCGGTGGGTGGGGGGCCACCCGCCGGTCTTTACTGTTCCGGGCAGCGGGTCGCCGGCGGGCAGCTGCCCGCTCGCCGGCTACCCGCTGCCGGGCGGTGTTTCACGGCCGTGGGTAGGTGGCGGGTCCCCTACCCCCCACTGACTCTTTTCACACACTTTATGCCCCGGGAACCGTTGTGGAACCCGAAACCATGCTTAGACACTTTACAACGCAATTAACGACAACACGTAGACAATTAACGAATCAAATACAAGAAACGAACGGCACATAACCTATCATGCTTTTCTAAATATAATCAACACCCAAACATGCGATTTCCCCACTCGATAATCCAAGAATAAGATCATGCGATACAACCTAGGGTTCTAATCACTTTTGTATCAACAAGAATACGATTCGTCTTCTAATTGCAAGATTCGGTAAGAATAACACATAAACATCAAGAGCATCACACAATTATCAAGAACAACCCCTAATCATCAAGAACTCCATATAATCATCAAGAATCTCCCCATATCAAGATTATCAAGATCCCTCATGGGATCATCACGTCAAACATCAATAATCATCATCATATCACGCCAATACACAATAATATGGGGGAAACCCTAAGGGGGAATTATAGCTATGAAAATAGGTTTTGTTGAGACATGGGTTACCTCTTAGCCTTAATTAATTCCTTGGCTATGAAGGATCTTTCTTTAAGCTTCCTTGCTTTCTTGATTTCTCCTAAGGGGATTCTTGGAGCTCTTTTGGGGTGGTGGGGCGTTAATCTTGTGGGGAGTTCTAGGTGCCTCTTAAGTCCCTTATTTATATATTTAGGAGTCCTAATTAGGAACTAATATTATAGGTTTGCTAATTCATTTCCTTTTGGAACTAAGGATTGGGCTTAGGGGTTGGGTTTATATATGAGGGCCCATGGACTATGGTGGGCCTTTTTCCCTAATTAATCATTATAATTTATTCTTTCTCTTGGGCTATTGATTAATTAACTAATTGGTTTTAGGGGCCGTAACACGGGGTGTTACAATAATATTTAGTTATATGTTACTAGTTTAGATTAGTTTAGATTGATTTTAATAAGTATTAGACTAATGTTGCATTTTTATTAATATAAATAGTATTTTATTTTAACTGTAGTATTTTATTTATTACTTGGTTTAATTAAATAGAGTCATTAGGTTATAATGATTTGATTTGAATTTAACTTTGTTTTGTTTTCTTTTAGGTTTGGCGCAGCAGTAAGGAAAATAAAAAGAAATAAAAGGGATTATATTAAGTTGGGGTTTTTTTTGTTTAATTTGGGTGGACGGCAGAGAACACAAGGATTAAGCCTAACAGAGGTTTTGGCAGAGAAGACATACGAAACGGAAAAAAAAAAAGGGAAAATTGTGAAAGAAGGGAGTAAGGCCTGGGCGATGAGAAATTGCAGTGGCAAGCGTACGTAGCAGCGGCAACGGAGCTTTGATTGCGGCTATCGCTTCTCTAGGCTTGAATTACTTCCTTCCGTTTCTATTTTTATTCTTGTTAAAATTTCCAGAATAATGTTTCTTGAACATTCTATACATTCAAGTATGATTCTTGGCTAGAACTCTTAATTAGGGATTTGGATTAGCCTAGATTAGATTAATTGACTATTTTTCATGTGTTGATTCTTCCAATTTCAATTTCATAATTGAGCTTGATTATATTTATTTTATGTATTTTAATTGTGGATTGTGTGACTGGCCACTGCATAATTCTAACATTAGGGTTCATAAGAAGAACTGACAGGTGAATTATGAACCTAGAACTCGTAAGATAAACACAATTGACCTAAACTAGACATAGCTTTAGGTATTTGTGGTGACATTTGATTGTTGCTTAATGGGTTCAATTAATGTTGGTGAGATATCGACGGATGATCACAGTTAATTGGATACAACATAGTAGCTCGACGGAGTATTAGGATATATTTGAAGCAATCATCACTATAGTCATAAGAATTAACATTTAGGAGAGTTAGTTAATTATCTAATAGGTGAACCCCAAATCCCTAGTCTTTTCTCAATTGAAAATTTTCCTTTCCTTTAAATTCATAAATATTCTATTTAATTACATTAATTCTATTTATTTGCATCTTTCTTTATCAACAATTTGATTATTAAAGATAACAGTTAATAGTGTTCTTCGTGGGATCGACCCTGGAATACTCCAGGAATTTATACTGTGATTGACTCTGTGCGCTTGCAGATTATAGCAATCAAGTTTTTGTCGCCGTTGCCGCGGAACACTTTATTAAACTGTTTCCTTTAAGTTTTTCTTTTCAGATTTATTTTAGTTGTTAGGTTCTTTATTATTTTATTTTTATTTTTATTTAGTTTTTATTTTTCTATTTTTAATTTCTTTGTTTATGAACTTAAGGCGATCACTGAGGCATAAAAATACTGAATTATTTTCTGTTGATCTTGAAATTGAGCATACTTGCAGAAAAAAACAGGGTACGAAGGCGGCTTGAAATGGCTGAAAATAATAGAGTGGGTCAACAGGATGACCCCGTACCACCAATAATTCCAATTCCTCACAATCAAGTAGCTCAACCACGTCTTCGAGACATCCAAAGACCGGTAATAGCTGTTAATCCCTCTTGTATTCATTTATCTGATGCAGCTAGGAATTATGAACTGAAGACTTTCCATCTGAATATGCTCCCTACCTTTAACGGTTTGGGAAGTGAAGATGCTTTGGGTTTCATGAGAGAGCTCTATAGTACGGTACAAACTTTACCTTTAAATAATTTATCTGAAGAAGAGCTTAGAATGAAATGTTTTCCATATTGCATGAGGGGTGATGCTAGGCAGTGGTTGTTAAATTTACCAGAGGGTTCTTTAAGAGCTTGGGATGATGTTTACAATGCTTTCATGTTTAAATATTATTCATCTCAAAAGACAATGGACTATAGGAGTAAGATATGCACTTTCACTCAAAGAGATGCTGAGTTATTTCATGAAGCATGGGATCGTTTTAATTTGCTTTTGACACAATGTCCACACCATCAATTCCCATTGTTATTGTTGACACAATTCTTTTATGATGGTTTAACTCCTAATTGTCAGTCTCTTGTAGATACTACTGCAGGTGGATACACAGGTGATAAAAATAGTGATGAATTAGAAGCTATCTATGAGAACTTAGCTAGTAATTCTCGACAAAAAGCAGTGAGGGGTCGAAGAGCTGCTGTGCATGAAATTAGCACACAATCTGAGTTGACAACACAAATGGCTGAATTGACTAAACAGATTAACTTGTTGATGACTCGTGATAGTTCGAATAGAGAATTCTGTGCTTATTGCAATACATATGCTCATAATTCTTCTGTTTGTATGAATGCAGAGTCATCACAACCATCTTATGAGGAAGCTAATTACATGGGATCCAACAGGGGTAGGCAACGACAAAAAAATGATCCATTTTCTAATACATATAATCCAGGTTGGCGAAATCACCCTAACTTCTCATGGAGAGATCAAGGTAATGCAAGACCAATGGGACCACCCGGATTCCAGCAACAGGGACCATCAGGATTCCAGCATCAGCAATACAGACATTTCCAACAGTCACCTGCACCACAACAGTCTCAACTTCCTGCTCAGGAGAAAAAACCTCAATTGGAGGAGATGTTCATGCAATACATGGCTAGCCAGGACACTATGATGGAGAAAATGGATGCAAAAATTGATAAGGTTGCTCAGTCCAACCAAGCATCCATTCATAATTTAGAGGTGCAAGTAGGTCAATTGGCTAAATTGGTTGCAGAAAAAGATCGAGGTAAGTTTCCTAGTACCACTGAAATAAACCACAGGGAAGGAGCTATGGCTGTCACCTTGAGAAATGGTAAGATGTTGAATGAAACTTTGAAAGAAAAAGAACCCCTGAGTGAAAAAGAGAGTGATAAAGAAGAGGAGCAAGGGCCTAAAGAGAATTCTAATGATCAAAACCTCACTTCCTCTACAGTAAAACCTTATGTACCCCCCATTCCATACCCACAAAGGTTACAAAAGAGGAACCAGGACAATAACTTTAACAGATTTTAGAGATTTTTAAAAAATTGCAAATTAATATTCCTTTTGCAGAAACACTTGCTAATATGCCATCTTATGCCAAGTACATTAAGGAAATTGTGTCTAATAAAAAAAAACTGGAAGAGTTTGCTACTGTGCATTTAAATGAGGAGTGTAGTGCTATTTTGCAAAGCAAATTACCTCCTAAGCTAATGGATCCAGGAAGTTTTTCTATTCCTTGCACTATTGGTAATACTGTTGTTGATAAATGCTTATGTGATCTAGGTGCCAGTATTAACCTTATGCCTTTAACTCTTTTCAAGAAGTTGGAAATAGCTGAAATGAAGCCAACAACAATCTCTTTTCAACTTGCTGATAGATCAGTCAAGTACCTGCTTGGAGTAGTGGAGGATATATTAGTAAAAGTTGGTAAATTTTATTTTCCTGCTGATTTTCTGATTCTTGATATGGGTAGTGATACAGATACATCTCTTATACTTGGTAGGCCATTTTTGTTGACAGGAGGAGTATTAATTGATATGCCTTTAGGGAAATTGATTTTTAGAGTAGGTAAAGAAAAAGAGGAATTCTCTATCTCTAAGGCTGTAAAATTACCAACTTTTGATGAATCATGTCTTTTTGTTGATGTTATTGAGAAACCATCAGAAGAAGAATTTGTTAAGCATTCACCTAGTGAAACACCACATCAACTTGAACTTAAACCACCTTCATTGCGGTTCAAATACGAATTTTTGAGTAACAATGATACTTTTCTTATGTTTTCTTATGCTCATTTACTTCATGCAAAAGAATAGAGATTGTGGAGAACATTGACTAAAGCTTGGCATGACAAAAATAATTTTTGGAGAGAATTCAATGTAGGGCAAGAAGTTTTGTTGTCTAATTCTTGTCTTAAGTTTTTTCTAGAGAAATTGAAGTCTAGACGGTTTTGCCCTTTCATGGTGACTAAAGTTTGTTCGTATAAGGCCATAGAGATTGAAAGAGATAAAAAGAGACCATTCATGGTTGCTTCACCAAAAGTCAGCCCCGGAAGAAACTAGCAATTAACGGGGAAGTTTCCTATTTATTTCATTTTCTCATACCTGCTTTCTTATTTAACATTAAGGACAATGTTGAGTTTGAGTGTGGGGAAGGGAAAGTCAGGGGATGTTTTCTGCAATTTTTATGCAAATAAGACAAAAAAAAATTCTGCATTTTTCTTTATGCATTTTCCTGCAGTTTTCTGCAACATTTTCTGCATTTTCTCTATTTTCTGCATTTTGCTACAGTAAAATTTTGCATTTTTCTTTCTACATTTTCTGCACTAATTTTCTACATTTTATGGGATTTTCAACGTCATTTTTTTTTCATTTTTCTGCAATTTTTCAGCAAAATAAAGTTTTAAAAAATGCCTTCTAATGACTATGTTGATTGTGAGATAAGTTCTAGTGTTTTGAAAGTGCATAATATCAATGAATGTGTTTGGCTATATGTATGCTTGCATAGAGTTGGTAGTCAAATTCTATCACACCGTGAGCTTTTGAGCCTAGAGGTTGCCCACTTCAACTTATTTTCTTTTTGAGTGTTTATTTGCCCTTTTTGATTGTGTTACTTCTAGAACTTGCTTCATACCATTTCAGAGCTACATGTTATATGTTGACACGAGAATGATTAAGGCGTTAGGATTTAGCTTTATGGCCTTAAAAATGATCACATCCTTATACATGTTATATTTTCCCTAGTGAACCATTTTGAGCTTTATAATAAATATAAGACATTTTTCTTCATTAGCCAGTTCCAAAGAACCTTAGCTCATAAAAAGAAGCCTCTTTACCCGTTCTTGGGTCAGTGGATGTCATTATTTCATTTATCTGTGCAAGATGACCAAAAGTGATGAAGTATGGGTGAGATTGGAGTTGAAAGATGATTATACAATTGGTTTTCTTTGGGTAAAGAATTGTTTGTGATCAAATGGGGTGAAAATGGAAAAAAGAACAAAATGATCTGTTCTAATTTGTGGGTTGAAAAATCTTGTTAGCCCAAGCTTTTTTGCCATTTCATTCTTAAAATGATTTGTGGGCAATGAGGGCATGATAGAAATTTGATGATTATAGGAAAAGTACCATTGAGGGTTGTGTGGAAATGGAAAGCTATTTATTCGGTTTTACCAGAAAAAGGAAAAAAAAAAAGAGAAAACAAACGAAAAAACAGAAAAAAAATGAAAAATGAGATTTTGAAGTTGTTTTGGGAGTTTATCAGTGAAAACGATGAGGGAGAATGAAGTATAAGTGATGGCTTGTTTTGGTAGAGTTCATTGCATTTGTAGAATACAGTTTCTTGCTCTTGATATGGTGAAATTATGGCTCTACTGATTCCTTGGACTTTCTTTGTATTTCCTTTTATCCTTTGTTTCATAAACCACATACCCTTGGCCCCATTACAACCCAGAAATAAAGACCTTTTGACTCGTGTTCTTCATATAATTTTGGTAGTGGAGTTTTGGTGGACAAGCAAGCTTATGGTAAGTGCACTCTCAATAGAGGATGGTGTGTACCTTCTTTATACATATATTTATGAGAGATTGAGTGAACAACAGTGAGGACTACTATTCTCTATAGTTTTGTGTGCATATGACTTTGAACTCTCATGAAGTATTATGTGTTCATCAATTCCCTTGAATTGAATGCCTAGTTGACATGGTTATGGTTGGTAGTTTGATTTTATTGCATAAGTTTGCTTGGGGACAAGCAAAACCTTGAGTCCGGGGAAGTTTGACAAGCTTAATTTCTAGGCATTATTTAGAGTAATTTTAGTATGTTATTTTCATAAATAAATTAAGTTCTAGGGTTGATTTTATTATAAATATTATATTTAGTTATATGTTACTAGTTTAGACTGATTTTAATAAGTATTAGACTAATGTTGCATTTTTATTAATATAAATAGTATTTTATTTTAACTGTAGTATTTTATTTATTACTTGGTTTAATTAAATAGAGTTATTAGGTTATAATGATTTGATTTGAATTTAACTTTGTTTTGTTTTCTTTTAGGTTTGGCGCAGCAGTAAGGAAAAGAAAAAGAAATAAAAGGGATCATATTAAGTTGGGGTTTTTTTTGTTTAATTTGGGTGGACGGCAGAGAACACAAGGACTAAGCCTAACAGAGGTTTTGGCAGAGAAGACATACGAAACGGAAAAAAGGGAAAATTACGAAAGAAGGGAGTAAGGCCTGGGCGATGAGAAATTGCAGCGGCAAGCGTACGTAGCATTGACTATTTTTCATGTGTACGTAGCATTGACTATTCAAATATGATTCTTGGCTAGAACTCTTAATTAGGGATTTGGATTAGCCTAGATTAGATCAATTGACTATTTTTCATGTGTTGATTCTTCCAATTTCAATTTAATAATTGAACTTGATTATATTTAATTTATGTATTTTAATTGTGGATTGTGTGACTGGCCACTGCATAATTCCAACATTAGGGTTCATAAGAAGAACTGACAGGTGAATTATGAACCTAGAACTCGTAAGATAAACACAATTGACTTAAACTAGACATAGCTTTAGGTATTTGTGGTGATATTTGATTGTTGCTTAATGGGTTCAATTAATGTTGGTGAGATATCGATGGATGATCACAGTTAATTGGATACAACCTAGTTGCTCGACGGAGTATTAGGATATATTTGAAGCAATCATCACTATAGTCATAAGAATTAACATTTAGGAGAGTTAGTTAATTATCTAATAGGTGAACCCCAAATCCCTAGTCTTTTCTCAATTGAAAATTTTCCTTTGCTTTAAATTCATAAATATTCTATATAATTACATTAATTCTATTTATTTGCATCTTTCTTTATCAACAATTTAATTATTAAAGATAACAGTTAATAGTGTTCTTCGTGGGATCGATACTGTGATTGACTCTGTGCGCTTGCAGATTATAGCAATCAGCGTTTCCTCAAAACATTAAGCCGAGCTTGCAGAATAGCAATCTCATTATCTGTTTACTTCGAAAAATCTCCTCCCCTTCTCTTTAGAGACATCCTGCACTAGCTCAACTGACTGGGCAGAATATCTCCAACTGTCGTGTTCCAGTTTCCTAATACTACCTCCTTGCAACCAACTTCCTTAAGCTATGCGTTCTCAAACATAAACTTATATTGTTGGCTCGCCACCTGGGGACTTTCAATCTAAATGTATATCGCAGAGGCGTCAGATGTAATAACATCCTTATTGTAAATCGTAGCTTGGGGAAAAATGGTGCACCAATCAGCTCTAGCCACTGCCCTGTCAAGATGTTCGTCTACCCAATTGTCAGTTCCTCTACCACATTCCCAAGTGTATCGTCTTCCTCTCATACCAAGATCAAAGAGACCACAATCTTCAAGCACAAGGTTAAAACCATCAATAAGGGACATGGGATTAGGGTGAAGACCTCTCTTCTCACACGGTGCTGCTATGTCATTGAAGTCTCCAGCAACAAGCCATGGTAAGTCAGATTTAGACTACAAGGATCAAAGTATCCCATGATTTCTGCCGGTGATTTCTTTTAGGGAAGCCATAGAAGAAAGTTATCATCCACAGATTATAGTTTGGTAGACACACCTGGATATCTATGTGGTTTTTAGAAAAACTGAAGAGATTAGCCACACCCGTGTCACACCAGAACAATGCGAGACCACCTCAAGTACTACCTCGGTCAACGTAAAAGAGACCTTCAAATTTTAACTTAAATTTCAATCATTCTACATGTTCACGGCGAACTTTCGTCTCTATTATAAATATAAACGTAGGATTAACCTTAGCTTCTAAGGCCATGATTTCCCGAACTGTGCGTGGGTCGCTAAGTCCACGACAGTTCCAACATAAGGAACTCATTGGGATGAACAGGGCGGGGCAACACCAGCTCTCGCCATCAGTAAGTTTTTTTGAACTCATGCTCTCAGTATCCATAGGGACGTTAATCGAAGTTTCGATACGACGGAGTTTTTTATCATAGATGGTAAGACTATCCTCCATGCATACACGAGATTCCATATTATTCTCAGCCTCAACACCTTCCTTGACTGGAATCACTCCTTGGAACCCTCCTTACTCTTCCAAGAAGAAGAACTCATGTGGAATCGATTTTTCTTTCTTTGCAAAGACTGCTCCACCTTCATGGCTATTTGTACTAGATCATCATACTCCACATAATGTTGCCTCTCAACTTCTTCTCGAATTTCTGCATTCAAGCCTCTAAGGAACCAGGCCATGGACCTCTCGGTCTTTTCATCTATGTTAAGTCTGATCATGAGCTTCTCCATCTCTTGATTGTAGTCAACAACACATCTAGCACCCTGCAAAAGATATTCAAGTCGCTGATACATTTCACGTTGGTACCAACTTGGTACAATTCGCCTCCTCTTTAAAATTCTCAACTCCCTCCAAGACTCTATATGATCCTCTCTTTACTTCATTCTCTCAGCTATAATCTTATCCCACTAGCTAGAAGCATAGTCTGTAAACTCTAGCACTACCAGTCTTAACTTCTTCTTCTCTGAATACCTATGACATTCAAATGACCTCACCACCCTACTTTCCCAATCTAGATAAGCTTCCGGGTCATTTTCCCCTTGAAACTTAGGGATCACTGGCCGAACATCCCTCATGTCATCATCCATTTTTTCCCACTGATTTCTACCCCTTCTGTTTCTTTCCCTTCTAAATTCTCTATTCTCGTCTATTTCTTCACTCTCCTCTCCACTGCTATTACTCATTTGTTCCCTCTCATTTTGTCTTCTATTTATCTCCCTTTCTCTTTTCT